GTAACCAACTTCTCAGTGGCCAAGGGAGGATTTTTAAAAATAGCATCATTGATTTCGTGTTTTGGAATAAAAAAGCAATAGATGAGTTTTGTTTAGAAAAAATATATAATTAGATGGTACAGAAAAGAAAGCAAAAAAGAGAAACTGGCCTAAATCTTCTTCCCAGAAACTTTCATCATCCTTATTTGGTTTTGAGTCCCACCCCCATCCCAGTCCTGTCCTCTAGGGTTGTTCTGCTGACTTCCTTGTCCAGATAGGATAGGGTCTGACTTCAGGGCAGATAGAGCAGGGTCAGCCAACAGAAGTGATGACTGGGCCCCTAGTCATCACTGCCCAAAGCTTTGTCAGAAGATTTTCAATAATCACCCTTCCTGTTATAAAAGAAATGCCAGATAGCCAAGGTTCGTTCACATCAGCTTTGTTCAGAGGGGCAACATGACTTTGTCCAAAGCATAGCAAATTTGGGAATGAGGAAACCAGGTCTGTGATGGCAACTAGGTCTTTCTGAAGACAGTTGAAAAGCAGGACTCGAGGTGGCTCAGACACCTGCACTCAGCCCTGTTGTGTAGTTGTGGAAACTGAACCAGACAAGTCACTTGTCCAAGGTGACTGCTGTCAGGGAGGGGATGGAGCAAAGGGAGGATGTATTATACATTTTTTTTCTCGAAGGGCAGCCTTTCTGTTCCTGCAATCAGGTACCTATATAAGACCTTGGGACATGTCCCACAGTCCACAGTTTCCAGTGCAGGTCCCAGCTCCGGCTCCCACTTCCATGGCCTGATGTTAACAGTGGCGCCCCTGGTGGCTGGTTTGCTGTCACCTGCCCGAGAAGGGATGGGAGTGCAATAAGGGGAGGGGCCTCCCCATTCCTCCCCTTCCTTAATCCCACATCCTGCAGTGTGCTCTTTGGGGGTCATCCCATGTCCCCCAAAGTGGGTGGCTACACTATCTAGTAATGCCCTGAACCCTGATTTTTCTGCTGGCCTCCAGCCACTCCTAGTCATAGAGTTCCTGGCCCCTCTCACAGGCTGCTATCACTTGTCCCGCCCACTCCCAATGCTCCCTCACTCGTTCATGACTCAACGATTCAACCATCCACTGGGAAACCTGATATCTCTTTTCAGGCCGGGAGCAGGCATGTCCTAGTGGCATCTCTTACTTTCAATGCCTCTTGGTAACCTCCACTGTCCCCATTCCTCCCAGGAAGTTCTGGTGGCCTTCATCATTTGGGGGAATGTGAGCCTTTGAGAGACACACCATGTTACCAGTGGGTTTCAAGGCCTTCTCTACCTAACCTCTGCCGTCTATATGCTCTTGGTGACCTAGCGCGCTCTTGGGTGGTGCTGGTAGCTGTGGCAGCCTTCGGGAGCTCCCAAAGGTCAAATTCGTATATGAACTTGACTGGGCTAAGAAAATGCCAGGTAGCTGGTGAAACATCGCTTGCCTGTGGGTGTCTGAGAGAATGGCAGCCCTCATCCATGTGAGTGGCACCAGGCCCTCTGGAGAGAAGAGCCAAGTGGAGGAGGCATGGACTTGCTCACTCTCTGCTAGGACTGAGGATTTCTTTCTTTCTTTCCCGCTGGGATGGGGCTATACCAGCAGCTTCTCTGGGTGTCCAGCTCACAGGCAGCAAGTGCTCAGTTGCACCTCCAGGGTTTCCTACAGAACAGCCCTTTCTCAATGGGGAAGCAGAAAGGGTCTCCTCTCACTGCTGAGTGATGAGTGGCAGAACTGCTCACCTGCCTACTAACAGCCACACACCACCCTGGGGGCTGTGAGAAGGTCTAAGTGGGACCCCTGGGGAAGTGTGGGCCACATGTCCCCCCTGGGTCTCGTTGCTACACCATCACAGACAGCCCAGGTGAGTGTTGCCCTGGAAAGTGGGCAGACTCAGTGCAAAGCACAGTCCTGCTGCAGAGGCCAGGGAGGCAGCTCCTCCAGACAATCCCCATCCAGAGGCTGTGGGCACCACTCCTTTTGACTAAGAGCAGAAATATTTGAATAAGGGGGCTGCTCTTATATCGTACTCCAAGGTCCTGGAATGGAAACCGGTAGGTGTTCAGAGACTGCCTACTGGGTGCATGGAAGGATCTGATAAGACTGGGCTTCAGCAGATCTCTTGCTCTGATTCTTGGATCCCTCCACCACCACAGGAAACTTGTTGGGATTGACAGGGACTTTGACTTCATTTTTCAGACTTCTCCTCCCAGCTTCTGGTTATTGGGCTTGTATCACAGAGCTAGGCTGCAGAGCCACATGTGACCAGCAGGGGTCACTAGCACAAACAGCTGCCTGCTGGTGCACCTGGCAAATTCTTAAATCCTGTAGGTTCAAAGGTCTGAAGCTGAAGTTTCTTGGGCAGGAAGGACACATATATTATTATGACAGCCTCTGCTGACTTGCTGCTGACACCCAATTAAGCGAGTATTCAGGCTGTCAGCCGGCAGAAGAGCCCTCAGCTCAGGGACTCACCTGACTCAGCAAGAAGAGGGGCAAGGGACAGATTCTGCGGTTTCTAAGCGCAGATAGCTTGACTTCTCTGTGCTTTGGTTTTCCTTATCTGTAAACCGGGCAGTGATTGTGAGAATTAGAGAGAGAGAGAGATCTGATGGACATTCAGTTCACAGGAAGTGTCTGTAAAGCAGGCACCATGTCCTGTATATAGTATGGCAAAGGTATCGAAGGACGTGAGGCCTGAAACAACACTGCTCCCCATGTTGTGTGGTCTATAATGCTAAGTGGAGATCATAGCCTTTAATTATAGATAGTTATGAAGGCCTACCCTGTAGATACCCAAAGGCAGGAGAAAATTACACTAAAGACCTCCTGCTCCAAACAGCCATGTGCCAGTTGATCCAAATCTTTTAATTTTTAAAAAGGAGCAGACAGACAATCTTGTGCTCTTTGGGTTGCCAATAAAAAGTTTGTTATGCAAAACAGTCCAACCCTTTTCATTTTTAATAATACTGTAAATATCTCAGAAAGGATATATTGTATCATTTCTAATGAATATCAAAAAAGTTGTCACAATGACATGTCCCCTTGCTCCCTCTTTTCCCCCCTCCTCCCTACAGTTACCCAAATACTAGTATGAAATTACAAAACAAAACAAAAAAACAACCCCCAAACCACAAGCCTCCCTCTACCCTGCCCCATGAGTAGTGTTAAGAGTGTCAAGTGTTAAGGGCCACATGTACAACACGTGTGTCTGGATGACAGGCATTAGGGATCTGTCCATCTGTCTGTCCACGAGGGAGTTGGTGAGGAGCAATAGCAGCAATGGGCAGCCTCCCTCCTCAGGGGTGGTGGGGGACAGTAGTTGAGGACCAACCCCACAGGTCATCTTCAGTATGATGCTGGCCTTCCCAGAAGAAATTCCTGGCCTGTTTGTGAGCAACTGGGGGAGGTGCCTTGGACAAGTGTCCAATTAGCTGGGGGGTTCTGGGCACTGGCTCAGCCATCTCAGGCTTTAGGAAGAGGTGGGGTGGGGGTGCTGGGCAGAACAGCTAAGAGTCCAGAAGCTTTGTGGAAATAGAGCATTCAGGTCTTTGACAGGACACCAGGGCCTTAGTGTGAAGAAATCTCACCTTTCTACCAGACAAATCCAGGAAATTACAGGAAGAGGGAAAGGACACCCCTCCCCCCATATCCCATCTCCCAATAGCTGGGCAGACAAAGCAGCTGGAAAACCCAGCAGATGAGGAAGAGAGAGGTCAGTCCAAGAGGTCTGAGCCAGGCAGGAGGACACAGCACCAGTCTCCCCCTGGGGACCACATCTGCTCGCCATTTCCAAAGAAGAGCCTAAGGGATGGATGCCCAGTTCCTCCCACTGGTAAGTGAAGTCTCCTCACACCGGGGCAGGTGGAATGGCTCCAGAATAAGATGTCTGCCCACAGGATCTGCAGGGAGTGTCAGGAAGGTAGAGAAGAGGGCAGGGGACAACAAGAGGGAGAGAAGGGGTTGTATAAGGAAGGAGCTGTGGGTGGAATCCAGCCCTAGGCCTCACTGTAGCTCCCCTGCAGGGATAGCCATAGATCCTAAGCCACAGATCCTGGCCAGGCAGCTGCAAGAAGAGGTGGTTGCCTTCTGACCATCCCTACCTAAGATAGATAGCCAAGAAGGCTGGCTGGATGGTGGAACCCCCTGCCACAGGGGCTGGGGATGGCTGGTCTCCAGGGATCAGGGCTAAGATAAAACTTCATTTGTTAGGGAAACAGGGTTCCCCAACATAGTTTGTGATAGATTTACTTAAGATAAGTAGGGGGAAGGTCTGAGTGGGGGGTAGAGGGGTCATAGCAAAGAGGGCCAAAGAAGAGGCCTGCAAGTCTCTGCAGGTCAAGGGCAAAGCAGCCCTTTGAGGCAGCGAGGCAGGGAATCTTTCCCTGCTCGCTATCCCCTCCCTCAATCTGGGAGATGGAATAACTGAGGCACAGGGAGAGAAGGGAGTGGTCATAGTCACTGGATGAGACAGTCCTCAACTCCTGATTATTCAGGAGCCCTGAGGATGGTGGGATGTTTTCTTCAACGTCTTGCAACTTTGACATGTGGAAGGTCCTGTCGTTGGAAAGGGGAAAGACCAAAAGAAAATAACAAAACAAAACAAACTGTCCCTAGGGTACAGAGGAGGATGGCCAAAGACTCGTAGAGACAAAGTCAGGAATGACTAAACACCAGAGGTGGATAGGAACCGCTCCCTGATTCTACCTGCCCACAGCATAAAGGTTGACAATATAATACAAGGACTCTAGAAAACATGGGTTGAGCCACCCTGGGCCAGGATCTGCTAGTCACTGTACAGAATTATCTTGGTAAAGTGGATACACCCATGATCACAGGAGTGAGGCAGGGGTACAGGGCACACAGTGGCCGGCTGGGAGTTAACTTGTTAATAGTCCTGTGCAGACAAGCAAGCCCCTAACATTAGATGAAGTACAAGGTTCAGGATTCATTTACAAGCAGGGAAGGAATGGGAGAGAAGGATCCAAGTGGCTGGTGGGGACTCAGAAGTGTGTCTCCTTCTCTGTGATGGCAGAGATGGTCCCGTCGCCCTTGACCTTGGCCTCACAGTCATTAACGGTCACCGTCCGTGGGCTGGCTCCAAGCTTGCCCCGCATTTTCAGATCAGCGCTGGGAACTGTCAACTTCTTTAATTTCTAGATGGTTGGAGAGGAGAAGCCTGTGTGAGCAATGCTGCTGGGGCCCGGGGTCTGTCCACTTCTGCCTCCCCAGATGTACAGATGTTCCTTGGTGCTACGGAGTATCAGACTGAGGGCCAGGCCCTGGCTCTGCCTTGCTCCTCAGTTTTGGGTGAGCCATTACCTCTTTGAGTTCCCACCACCAGAAATGGGGATGGCTGAGGTCCCACTCCAGGCAGTAGGTGAGAAGCAAGGAGATGGAGACACAGCCCCTGAAGCATGGCTGTAGAAGGTGACCAAGACTACAGAGTCAGACTCAGGGCCTCCCACCCCAGCCCTGCCTTGGCAGCAGGGGAACTCCACTTTGAAGAGGCCTGATGGTTGTGCCAGCCAGTCTCCTGACCTCTGGCTGCATCCCTCTATCTGTGGGCCAGGATGGCAGGCGCTGTCCAGAGGGTGAGAGACTTCCAGGGCTTCTGATGTGAATGTTGGTCAATCAGAGCCCTACCCTACCCTGGCTTGCCACCACACCAACTGCAGTGCAGGGGAAGCTCCATGTACTGAGCTCTTCAAGCTATGCTTAGAGATAGATGCCATCCCTGCTTCAGCCTCTATGTGTAGCCTCAACCTCTCAGAATGCATCTCGACCACGGGCCACACATCAGCACCATTTGCACTGCCCTTGGACCAGGATTCAGGAAGCCCTCCTGCACATGGGCCCTTACCTGGAAAAAAGCTGCAAGGACTTTGGGGTGGCTTAGTACTTGAGGACAAGGTTGGGCCTCCTCTTTCAGGTGGAAGTCACACTGTCTAGGTAGGATTAACACTTAGACTCCTGGGAGCTGATTAACCAAGCCTCCTGTGTGCCCAGCTCCAGATGGGAATGGACAGGCGAAGGTCGAAAGTCTCAGGGACTCAAGGTCTCAAGGCCTGAGGCTGGACCGAGTCAGAGGCTCATTCTGTAACAAGCCCTGCTATCTGGGTTGGCAGGGTATGAGCTAGGGTGATGGGAAGAAGCCAGGAAAGGACTCGTAACAACCAGGAGGCTGCTGGAGGGCTGGCCCGGGTCCTGAGGCTGAGGCTTTGAAGCCCCGTGTTGGTTCCCTCTGGACAGTCTGGTCTCAATATCAATTAACCAACTGCCCTTGACCAACACCTCCTGTAAGCAACAAAAGGGACCTTCCCCATCCATCCATCTCTGCTGCAGCCCAGGCCCCCCTCAGGCAGGGAGCTGGAGGACACATTTTGGATGGCACTTATGTCTCCCTGTGACCTGTCAGAGCTGGCGTTTGGCCAAACCTCAGTTCAGATCCTGACTTAAATGCTTTCCCTGTGGGAATCCCCACACCTCTTGGACCCTCTATCAATTAAGGGGTGCTGTCAGCCTGTCTGGCAGATGAGGAGGTTGAGGTAGAAATCACAGAATCTGACTTTAACCCAGACATCTCAGAGGTGCTTCTGGTACATTTTAAGGGTGAACACCTACCAAAGAGGAGCCTGCCACAATCCTCCTTCCATCCAGACCCACCCCCCACCTCTGCTTCCTCTACCAACTGCTCACCTCGGGCAGGGTGCCCTCTGTCTTCCACACCTTGATGAAGATCCAGAGTGGGATGCATAGCATGGAGGACAGAGCCATCAGCCAGCCAATGCCGTAGCCCCAAGCTGGGTATGTGTACACATTGTTGTACTTGAGGGGCTTGTACTTGACCAGAAAGAAGATGAAGATGCCCTGTGGAGAGGCAGATGGAGGTTCTTGGTGGTGCTCCTCAGCCCTGCCCTACTTCAAGGGCCCAGACACCTGGACTGTCCAGTGAGCCTGAGGTAGAACCATGAGGGTAAGCTGGTCCGACTGTTAGAACACAGGGCCTGGGACCTTGGGGCCTCTCCAGGGCTGTGTTATGTGTCCCCTCTCCCAGGTTCATCTTTCTTAATTTCTTCTCACTCAGAGTCTATCTTAGGGCTATCTTGAATCTGCTATTCTGACCCCGTCAGTTGGGAAGGTAAGCTCAGATGCTCCCCAGAACCAAAGACAGGACAAAGAGTAATGAGGCTGTTTTTCTATGTTAAGACTCCTCTTACCAGGGCTGGTCTGTAGCCTGGTTCCATGGACAGAGCCTAAACTTTGACATTCTCCTCACCTCTGTCTGTCACCTTCTCAGTAACAAATATCCTCACTCATGTTTGCAAACCTCTGGCCTCCCAGGGAGGTGGACCAATGTCAGGCTGCTGTACCTAGAACATAAGGCCCCAACAGGAGACAAATGTGTTCAGGGTCATTCCACACAGAGGTGGGAACTTGAGTGAGGCCTGCCTTGGCAAGCCCAGAGTCTGCCCTGAGACATCAGCTCCTCACAGTGGCAGGTGGCAGGGCCCTGGGCTATGTGACCCTCCCTCCTCAGGTCCAGCCCCAGCTGAGCTGGATGGAGCTGGATGAAGAGTGGCCGATGAGCAAGCGAGGGGGCTGGAGGTGACTTCCTGCAGGCCTTACCGCGCAGATCCCAGGGGTCACAACTTTCCAGCACCACTTGATAAGTGACAGTGGCCGATAGCCAATCATGTCCTCAATGTTGTCATAGAACCGGTTGCTTCCTATCCGGAGGAAAGCAGACAGACAGACAGACATGTCTTACAGCAGAGGTGAGGTGGGCCTACCTTCCCTAGCACAGGATTGTTGAGTACCTGCAACGTCCCTTGGGCGGCATTATTAGGTGTGAAGTGAAAAGTCCTACTGTGCGCTAGGAAGTTGGGCCCTACAGAGGTCCTTAGGTCAATGGCGGTGTGTCTTTCTGTTCCTGGCTAGAGATGTGTAGTCTTTCTCCAAAACATACTCCCTCCGTGAGAGGCCTTCACCAAGACCGGAAGCAGTGAAACCACCCGATCTTGGACTTGAACTTCAGAACCATGAGTTCTGCTGGCCCTCTCTACTTCTTAAGTAGCCCATGTCAGGACTTTCTTTACAGTGGTGCAAAACTAATGAACACAACGGTCAGGGTGAGGTGACGACAGAGGTGATTCACAGGGCATTGGGCTCTTGAGGAGAGGGCCTTCTGGGCTGCTTGTATGACTAGTGGTTATTATTCCCAAGTTACATTTTGTTTGTCCTGGAGACAGCAGCTCTCATCCTGATTTATGTGAGGACCAGAAGGTGAAATGAGTGAGGGCGTGGCCCATGCTATCAGCTCTGCCTGAAGTCTCTCTCAAAGGGGGAAACTGAACCTAGGGTAGGATTGGCCAGAGATCAAGGTGTTTGGGTCCTGAACACCCTGTGCCAGCATAAATACAGGAAGGGTCTTATGACAGTAGACAGGGACCTGAGTCCCCAGGGAAAGTACCTAGACAGTTACAGCTTACCAGGTCCCTGGGGCCCAGCTTCCACTTACCATATACCCAGCCGATGCAGACGCACTCAAAGATGGCTACAAAGAGCAAGCACATGCCACTGGCGGCATAGGAGTCAAAAAGCTGGAAGATGTACATCCCACCCTGTGGGTCAGAGGACAGACACACAGACAGACACATGGGAGAACAGAGTCAGTAGCCACCCTCCATGGGTCCTCTCTCTGCTTTGGCAGTTGCCAGCCAGTAATGAACTCATCTCTAGTCTGAGTGCTACACTCTCTGCAGCTGGGTGTCACAAGGCCCTGTCCTGCAGAGACGTCAGGGTTGTAGGTGGCCTGTGGCATCAAAGAGGCTGCACTGAAACCAGAATGGAGGGCAGGAGGCTTCAACACCTCTCCCCAGATGGTCAGCTCCAGAAGCTTCCAGTCCAGCCTTACTGCTGCTAGTCTTCCTCTCTGCCATCTTTTCAGAGGCTTAAAATTGCCCTTTCTCCCTCCAGCCTGTCCCACCACCTATTCTCAGCAAAGTGGCCTCACTTTGCATTTGGTTAAGTTCTTTCAAAGCTCAGCCAAAATGTCACTTCCTCTGAGAAGCCCTCCCTCCTCTGTCGCTCTCTTTCTTCAGGCTTCTAGACTTCATTGTCTGAACTCACAATTTAATCCTAAAAGTAGCCTGTCAGCAGCGCTGAGCTCTGCCCAGGAAGCTCCTACCTTTGTCCTTACTGTGCTTCCAGTCTTCACCACAGGGCCCAGTGCATAGTAGGTCCCCAAAAAGATGTAAGTAGAATCACCTGGAGCATGGGCTCTGTGGTGTACTACTAGCTGGCTTGCCCAGAGCTCAGAAATGGACACACAGTAGGTGTATAGCTCATCTTTGGAATGACATGACATGTGTTTGGGCTCACATGATTGTCCCTTGATGGCTGGCCTTAAATGTCAACTTGACCAGAATCAGTATCAACTTGCCTCTGGGGGGCATGTCTGTAGGGACTGACCATAGTAAAAAACAAACAAACAAACAAAAACAAAAACAAAAATAAAAACAAAAAAACCTGGCCTCAAATTGGGCACTGTCTTCCATCAGAAAGCCCAGATAGAAAGAGATTTGAGGAAAAACACGTCTTCACCTATTGCTGAGTAAGTGTTTCTATCGTGGCCCCCACCACCATCTGTGGACCCCAGCTTCTCCAGCTTTCCAACACAGACACGATGCTAATGACTTTCAAGTGATCTTCCTGGGCTTCCAGTCTCAATTTACAACCACTGGGGTATCCAGCCTCATGGGCCAAGTAGCTACCAGGTTCTTCTCTCCAGGGAGAAGTTCCAACCATGTAAGCCATCCCAGTGAAACCCCTTTTATACTCTGTTTCCCTAGAGGACCCTAACAGACCTCCTGGCATTCTCCCTCAATCAGGACCAAATAGCTCTTCACATACTGTTTATATGCTGTTAGGCAGTATGAATAATCCAGAGACGATGAGCATACGTGGCAGGAAGTATGCTGCTCCAATGAAAATAGGAGGGACCCAGGAAGCCGCAGATTTGTTGCTCACGGGGTTCTGGTGTGAAGGGATGACCATCAGAGCGAAGTCTGAAAATGCATTTCAGTGGAAGCCCCGCCTCTTATGTCTGCCTAGGGGTCTCACTTGGAACAAGAGTGCCCCAGTCACATCCCTATTCTATCATGTATATTCCATAGATTGAGACCCTGCTTTCTCTCATTAGTCTCCTTCAAAGATTGAGGAGGGCCACACATAACACCAGTGTGAAGAGCAGGTTGAGTGTGTAGGGCATGTGGAGACTGCAGCTAACTGCAGAGCCCACACACCATCTGGGCACACTGTTCTGGCCGATGGTTGTTAGGGGGCATGGGTGTGAGGCCTGGTGTGCAGATTTTCTGAAATGGGCCAGAAGTAAATTTTTACAGGAAAAAAAATTCTCTTTTTAACATTATTGGTGATATCTTCCTGTTTTGAAAAACACAGCGGGGGTAGAGCTGATGCATACCCTTCATGCCATTCAGTGCCAATGGACACTGTCTGAAACATCTCAGATTAGAGACTACGTGTTATGAACTGCAGTGTTTTTGCTGTACATATAAAGGCATCTGCTCTTCCAGAAACATAATGGTTTAATTATGGAAAGCAAAGACTCTTTGTATTTTCTCAGTCATTCCTCAGTGTGTATCAAGTTAGTACAAATTTGTATTGAATTGTTAGAATGTCTGATATTTCTTTTTACATTCAGTGTATGCATATGTGACTGCATATGTGTGCAAGTCAGAATACAACCTAGGGGAGTCAGTTCTCTCCTTCTACCATGTGGGTTCTGGGACCAAGCTCAGGATGTCAAGTTTGGTGGCACCTTTACCCACTGAGCCATCTTGACAGCCTTAGAATGTCTGGTTTTAAAAACTGCTGTTCGAATTGCACAAAAGATCATTCGACAAACTTGTCTTGGGATTAGGACCAGAGACCCAATTTCTGAAATGACCATGAACATGCTTCTGAAGTTGTGAACAATATATTTATGCAACCAATGTTCTCAGTATTGATGATCATAAAACCAAAACATTGATCAGCTCTGAAAACCATTAGAGACATTCTGCGTCCTGCAGTATCAAATATTCAGCCAAGATTTGATTCTTTATGTAAGCTCACCTACTTCATTAGTATGTAACTTTGCTTTTGTTTTAATAAATGACAAAATAAGAATTGTTTTTCAAAGAGACTCCCTTATCATTTATTATCAGTAAAAGTCTGGTTTGTATACTTTATTATTATTATTATTATTATTATTATTATTATTATTATTATTATTTATATGAATATTCTTGCCTGCATGTATGTCTGTGCATAACATATGTATAAAATGCCTGTGGAGGCCAGAAGAGGGCATTGGATCACCTGGGACTGAACCTACAGTTGGTTGTGAGCTGCTACATGGGTCCTGGGAATCAAACCCAGATCCTCTGCAAGAGCAGCCAGTGTTCTTATCCACTGGGCTATGTCTCCAGATCCTGTATGTCTACTTTATATGCCTATGTACCCAGAGTCACATACCTATTTCTTGGGTGAAAAGGGGCTGTGTGTAACAAAGCTGAAGAATTCCTGCTCTGATGTCCTTGGCCACTACTTGGTGACGTATTCCTCAGAACACAGCTCCATTAAGGGATCAATAGCTAGACTGGCTCTAACTTTTCCACATCTCAATGTACTTCTTGGTTCCCCCCTTCTCCAACAATGTGATAACAGGCATAACTATTGCTATTCAATGTCCCTACAGGGAAACTGAGGCACCAGGAAGCAAGGCCACTTGTACCAGGATGTCATGGAGCTGAGTATAGGGGCGGAGAAGCCACCAGTCATACTGCTGTGGTGGAAGATAAGAAGTGGGTAGCCTGGATTTTCCGTAGACCAGAGCTTTAACCAAGTGTAAATGAGAGAGACGCTCTGGCAGGCAATTACCAGGACGACCGAGGCTGGCATGGTTCGCTGGGCCCACTGTGAACTTCTTCGGCACAATGGCTTGAAGATACCCCTCTGTGGGGATGGAGGGCTGGCACATGAAGCCCAAATGCCTGCTGATTAATAGTCTCGGTTGGCTGGAGCGCTGGCTCCCTGATGGCCCCCTGGGAGTCACCATGCCCCCTTGAAGAGAGCTCTGTGCACTGGGGGCAACCCAGGGCAGGCTGTGCATGGAGTCAGCAACACCCTCCCATTAGTTTCTTCAAGGCATCAGGTTAAGCCCCACCCCAATTTGTATGCAACAAATGACTCCATTCGGTGTAATTAACCAGGGTTTAATGAGGCCCTACTCACTGTAGCCCTACTTGGAGAAGCACAAGACAGAAGCACTGCAGGGAGAGCAGGAACTGGACCCTCACCCCATTCATTTGCTCAGACAGTGACTGTCACTCTCATTAATGTGACCATGAGTAAGAACAGCAGTAACTCGGTCACTCACACTGAACACGAAACCTGAGCTGCCTCCAGGGTCCCCGGCTGAGCAGGGTAGGTTCCTCTTCTCCCCCAGGAGAGACAACAGGATGGGTGAAAGGCCGATGGGAGATCTTTATAACAGCCAGAGGGACAGTGAGTGAGCTGGGAACACATAGGCCCAGGATGGGGAGATGACAGGAAGCCTAATGGTAAGGGAAGCCCTGAGACTGTAGCCTGGGAGGAAGGATGGAAGAAGCCTCTGGAGATGGCTGGCCTCTGTTTCACCCCATCTGCATAATGGATTCCAGTTCCCCACTCCTCCCTGTTTCTCACACAACCTCTAGGTCTCTCAGCAACAGATCTCCCCATCCCCCCTTCCCTGCATTAATTATCTTTGTGCATTATGAGGAGAAAGACACCTAATCTCACCTTCCAAATACACCTGACAGGATGGGAACAAAATGGCTGTGGGGTGGAGGGAGCACATGGTTTAGAAGACCTCCTCAATTCGGGGTCAGGGAGAAGCCCACCTCACCTGCAGGGACAGGGGGGAGGCTGAGGCTGGAACACAACAAATGTCACCCCAGGCACCTATTCTGAGAGGCGTTCCAGAAAAGCCAGTATTCAACTTGAGGCCATGACAAGGAGCCAGTTCTGGGCCCGAGAGCTGGCATTGTTCTCTTCACTAGCGGGTCACCCAATGGGGGACTAGGGAACCACTGTCTGGCCTGACAAGTCCCCATGTGAGTTGTCCTGTCTAGCAATAGCCACCTTTAGGACTGCCTCAGGGGGGACCTTGTACTCAGAGCTCACTGAGAGTCTGTGTTCATTCTCAGTGTCCATGAGGAAGAGCATGTACCCGAGTAGCAGAGAAGGCTCTGGAGCTGCCCACAGCACAGGGTCTGAGGCCGTGGAGCTGTAATGTGATGGAACACAGCTGACATCACTTACCTCTGTCAACATCACCAGGCCTAGGAAATAGGAGATGATGGACAGGGCTAGGATGAGCAGTTCTCGACGGTAGCCCCTCCGGAAGACTTTGGGGTACATGTCTACCACGGCAGTCACAAGGCTCTCGACACACACGAACTAGAGGGAGAAACACAAGTGAAGCCCAGGACAAGGCCAGCCGTGGCACCCTAGGCTCATATACCAGGGGCTTCCTTCTCACTGGGCTGCCCTCCACCTTCACACTCCATCCCACAAAGATAAAGGCAGGCCCAGCACCAACATAGCTCCAACATATCCATTGAATGGACCAGGACAAAGATGCTGAGAAAAGGGAAGCTACTCCCCAGGGTCACATGGCATGCAGTCCTGACTGTGATGGCTCTTTCTCCCCCATTGCTGTCACTTCCTGTTCTGGGGTTCATGAGTTACAGGAGACCCAGCCTTTGTGCTTGAGGCAAAGCAGGAGTCTCAGAACTGTCCTGGGAGCTTGAAAATCTTCTGCCAGCATGCTCTGGATGTTGCCGTTGAAGTCTAGGACTGTGGCAGTCCCCTGCCCCACGACAGGTGGAAATCCACACTCAGCTGTGTCACCCAGGTGCTTGGTAGCAGAGCCCAGCTGTGAAGCACCTGCTTCTGAGGTGGTCTCCTACCCTTGTGCTGCAATGGAGTATACGTTTGCTAGTCACGGTGTTAGGAGACCCTGCGCCCATAACTGTCTGCTTTACATCTATCTTCCCAGACAAGGTGTGGCTATTATACAAAAAGAGTTGGGGCCCACAGAGGGGTGAGGACTCACTCAAAGTCACACAGCTGGGACCTATTCAGAGCTGATGCTCAACCCTGGTCCTCTGCACTGACTCCACAACAAGGGCTGGTACTGCCAGCCTTTCCCCAGGGTCCTATGGGAGGGAGATGGGATTCAAAGAAGGCTGCTTACCCAGGAAGCTAATGAGGTGGACACATACAGGTAAGAGGCAAGCAGACCTGGATTTATGCCCCACCAAGTCACTCAGCACCTCTAAGCAGTGGCTTCTACTTTCAAACCCAGACAGTGAACTGGGGTCCGCCTTCATGTGACTATCAGAGGGTGGACTGAACATGGCCCAGGCACATGGCAGAAGAGCCAGTGAACCCCACTCAGTGGGCATGAGCAGAGTCCTTGCCTCAGCCCCACATCCGCTGTCAGGCAGGACCCTCTGTCACACACCAGCTGCAGAGCCCTGATTTCTGAAAGGCTTTGCCGACAACAATGGAAGGGAAAGCTATCAGCAGAAACACCCGGCGTGTCTGCAGCACAGCTTAGTGGTTTCTGGGAAAGGATTCTGGCTTCAGAGAGAAATCGAATGTGGCTGGATTGACAGACACACAGGCCAGGCCTTGTGTGCTCAGTGACTCTTGCAAGGTCTTGAGTGGGAGCAGGGCTCATTGGCTAACTTGGGCACCATCCTTTCGCCTAAGGCTGGAGGATCATGGCTGCTTCCCTTGTCAAACAGCAGTTCTTTTCTGCACAGCACAGGCTTGTCAGGACATCTTACTGACAGACACCAACATGGTTGAAAGCAGTTCTGTGGGCTCTAGGTAGCTGTGCTCAGCAGCAGGCAGGGGCTGTATTTTAGGCCTGTGGGGCAAAGAGAGGCCATAGGCCTCAAGCTGGGAGGCCAAGCTGGGAGGATGAGCATGGGCGGGGAGGGAGGACAAGCTGGTGTTGAGGGATGAGGGGAGAGGAGCACGCAGATCACCCCCAGAGCAAATGTACCTGGGAGGGAGGGAGGGATGGACAGAGGTCCATGGGGACTAGTGGGCATACAGCTGCTGGGTGAAGGTGCTGAGGCACCAAGAGGATGCCAAGAACAGGTTATGGAGACCTCATCACAGGGCCAGAGGAAGGAAACTGGCTCCTCTATATCCCAAGTTCTCCATGGCTTGGAAGGAATGGGGACATGGGGACCCTTGGTTATAATTAGCCACAGTCCACTCTGTTTAGGACTCATTTCTGCTTTTGCAGGAACCTCTGGCTGGGAGTCATTTATCAGAATGGAAGGACTTAGGACATGGTTAAAAAAATTGAATTGGGGGCCAGGTGTGGTGGTGTATGTCTTTAGTCTCAGCACTCTGGAGGTGGAGAAAAACAGATCTACATGAGTCTGAGACCAGCCTGGGCTAGCTACACAGAGAAACTCTGTCTTGAAAAACAAACAAAAAAAAAACCTACCAAAAAATTGAATTGGGATCTGGGACCTGAGTCCCATTCCCAGGACCCACATGGCTGACACAGAGAAGTAATCTCCACAAGTTGTCCTCTGACCTCTGCATGTGTACAGCCCCTCTGTTCTTTTACAGTAGCAGGTGTACACACACACACACACACACACACACACACACACACACACAAATAAATGCAACAAATTAAAACAAAACAAAGCTAAAAACATAAAACAAAACCCAAAACACTGAAATTGGGAAATTGGGGTGAAGTAGACAAGGGGTGGACGGACACCAAACAGACAAGTCTATGACTGGAGGGTACCAAGAAGTAGCGGGCTGCTTGGCAGCCTGATGTCCGAGGCTAGAAGAGGGTTCTGGGGTCTAGAAGCTGTAGCACCTGGCCTGTCTAGTTCCTGTTCTTCCTTTCCCCTCCCCTGCCCCTTACCTGACCTGGTTCTCCCCTCCCCTATCCATTATCTAGGTGTCCCCCCTCCCCCACCCCTTTCCCTCTTTCTGCCCCTCACCTGGCTGTCCAGGCCCAGGAAGATGAGCATCATGAAGAACAAGGTAGCCCACAACGGGGAGAGGGGCATCATAGTGACAGCCTTGGGGTAGGCGATGAAAGCCAGTCCAGGACCTGGAGGGAAGGGAGAGTGGTCACTCTTCCAGTGTTTGCACCTGCAGGGATGCAGCAGTGTCCAGTTGCCAGCCCCTGGACCCAGGCCCACGCAGATCTCCTGTCCCTGCTGTGCTGACAGTGCCACGTAAATATGGACCTGCAGAAAAGTCTGTCACTGTTCAGAGGGCCTGGGAAGGTCAAGGTTCAACCGGGAGTGTCTGACCCACAGATCTTCCTCTGTATCCATCGGCTACCTGCTTTCACGTTGTTCAAATATTCTCACCAGGACTGCCCAGCACCTGAGTCTAAGCAAGAGAGGAAAAGTCTACCTAAAAGTGGCTCTTTGAATAGTGAGATGCTGCAAAGCAAGGCGTGCACAGTAGAAAGAGTTGTTATAGAACAACCCAAATACCATAAGAGGCCAGTGGATGCTGAAAACATGTCCACACCCCAACCACCATCAAGATACACAGTCTTCCTGTTGCCTCTAGCAGCTCACCACCTCCACATCCACCTTCATCAGCATCCTGGACAACCACTGGTAGGGTTTTGCTTTATTTATTTGCAAGATTATTTTTAAGGGTTTGTGTGTGTGTGTGTGTGTGTGTGTGTGTGTGTGTGTGTGTGTGTGTAGTACCCATGGAGGCCAGCAGGGGGTGATAGATACCCTAGTACTTGAGTCACAGACAATTTTGTTACCTGAAGAATAGTTCATGACCCTAACCTCTGAGCTACCTCTCCAGCTATTTTTTTTTTAATTTTAGGTTAATTTGCTTGTACTGTTTAAGATGGAATTGCTGGGGTGACAACCCCACATCCTCACCTATGAAATGCTGATTTCAAATGCTCAATATGCCATTCTGTCATTTTTTATTCGAGGCTCCATATTTTTGCCAACACTTGGCACTGCTATTCTTTCAGGTTCACTCCTTACAGTGACTATGCATTGTTCAATCACTTTGCTTCTAATCTGTGCTTCCAGGTGTCTTTGGTGCTTACTATTCACACAAATTCCCACCTTTATTGGTCCATTTCCTTTTTATTGAGTTGGAGCAGGGTTGTTGTTGTTAGAAGGAGGAGAGTAGATATTGTGGATATTTCCTCTCAGGCTATGCCTGGCCCCTATCATTCATGTATGTATGTATGTATGTATGTATGTATGTATGTATGTATGTATTCTGCATACGGATGTTTTACCTTCATTCATGTCTTTGTGCAATGTCCACAGAGGCCAGTAGAAGGCGATGGATCCTCTGGAACAAGATTGTGATCAATCATGTGGGTGCTTGGAATTGAATTCAGGTCCTCTGAAAGAGCAGCCAGTGCTCTTAACCATTGTACCACCTTTCCAGCCTTTTTATCTTTACTTTTTTTTCTGAAGTAGTTTATTTTCCCCACCTCTTTGTTGCTAGCAAAATAAAAAACTGAGATGTTTGTGTTTATTCTCTTTTATGCTTGATCCCAGTGAAATCCAGCAATTTCCAGAACGGAAAAAAAGTTCATGGGAAGTGCCATGCACCCTCCTCAGAGAAACACCAGGGTGGGATGCTGATGTGACCTTAGCAGGGCTGCTGTTGGCATCATCTCCACGGTGCAGCAATGTCTTTCCTCTGGGGAGGAGCACTTTGAGGTTACCTAGGACCCTGCTCTCAAGCCTCAAACTCCATTGAGGGTTGCTTGTACAGCCATCGTTAGGACAGTGTCTGCCTGAGGATGGATCCTCCTCCTTCCCCCCACACCTGTTCATCAGGAGCAGGTCACTCACGAGGTGATGGGTTCATGCCCCTGAGGGCTCCTCAGGGCTCAGTCTTTTTCTCTGGGTCATGATCCAGTAATGATCATTTACTTCACTGTTCATGTTGTCCCCGCACAGGCCACTGGGGGCTCCTTCCAGTAGGTTCTGCAGCCTTCTGATGTGTCCCCAGGCTTCTCGGGAGCACAGCCTCATGTGGCTTCACTGTGTCCTGGTCCAGCCCTGGACGAGATTGCCTCTTCAAGAGGCCCTGGCTGCAGACGATGATGTTTAGAAACCCAGGTCTGAACACAGGGGTGTGTCTGCTAACTGGGAGTGTCATCACTGTGGCTCCCTCAGCACATTCAGCTCTCCTGTGCTGAATCTATCCACACATGGAAACCGGGAGTGCAAGCATACATATCCCGTGACTTCCAATACAGTACACTCTAGCACCTGCTCCTCAGAGGGAACCTGCAGCCTTGGAATCTGCATACATTTACCAGTTTAGTCCACCCTAATACACATGTTCCACTCAGTAGAATCTCCAGTTCAGACTCCTGTCCTGACACAATCACACTGCAGTTGGTTTTTTTTTTTTTTTTTTTTTTTTTTTTTTTTTTTTTTTTTCATTTTTAGCCTCCGGTACACACTCGGAACACCACAACTGCTCTCTGTTAGTTCTGTGTTCCTCAGTACCCAGTGTGGCTACAGGACTCACTGTCCTTCTAAAACACAGTGAGGACACTGTTCCTAGCTTCTACTTCATTTTGGGTCCCACCCCACTTTGGATGGGGTGAGACATCACCCAGGGTCAAGGCTAATAGGGAGACACTCTGAGAATTACTTTTCCTTTCCTCCCCAACCTACCCTGGCGCCATCCTGCCCCCTCACCCTTTCCTGCCCTTCATGACAGCAGCCATTCTCTCTGATTCCCAGCCCTCTCTGTACCTCTTTTGCACATTGACCTCACATATTTTGTTGCTTCTTTGGCTTTCCACCATGAAGGATATAGAACATTGATATTTACCTTTTTAACTTTTAAATACATACTTTTTTGGCAAAGTCTCACTATGTAGCCCAGGCTGGCATCACCTTCCTTCTGCCTCAGGCTTCCAAGGCTGTACCACCATGACCAGCTCTCTACACACATTACTTTACAAATACTCTTCGATTGATAGTTTCCTGATTACGTTTTCAAAATTTAAGATTATTTTTATTTGTGTGTGTGTGTGTGTGTGTGTGTGTGTGTGTGTGTGTGTGTGTGTGTGTGTGCGCGCGTGCATGCACACACATACACCTCTGCGAGTTTATGTGACCACATGAGTTCAGTGTTCATGGAGGTCAGAAGAAGGCATTAGATCCCCCTGGAAATGCTATTACAAGTGGTTATGAGCTGCCTGATATGGGTTCTGGGTACCAAACCTGGGTCATCTGCAAGTATAGCAAACATTCAGAACTGCTAAGCTATCTCTCCACCCCTCCTAATAAGTTTTAATATACATACATGGTGTTATATTCTATAAACATCTTTTTTCTATATCCATGGAGATGATATTAGGTTTTTGTTCATCTATGAATACAGTGTGTACTATTAATGGAACTCCTAACCTTGCATTATTCCTGCAATGTTTCCTCTTGGTCAAGACACATAAATCAGTTTATTTCAATGTTTTCCCACAGTCTTTACTACAGTGAGTTTTCTCTATTAGTTTGTTTCTTTCCTTGTCATCTTGTATCTTCCTCTACGTCAGTGCCAGCCACCACCATGCCCCGGTTTTTATACTCAAATGTGCTTGTCAGGGTAGCAGTGTTGGAAGGTGGGTTTTTAAAGGCAATTAAGTCTTGAAGAGGTGAATAGGTCTGTCTCGGGGGACTGGATTAGTTCTTTTGAGAATGGAGTGGTTGTCCTAGGGCAGACTGTTAGAGAGGATCAACTCCTTTGTACCCACCCTTCTCGGGGCACCCATCTCATTTTCTATGGGCTTCTGCTGTGTGATGCCTCTACCATGTGATGGTTCCACAGAAGAACCCCCCCCCCAGCACATGATGCAGCCACAGCCAGCAGAAAGTATCAGCTAAAATAAAACCCCCATCTTTAGAAATTACCAAATCTCTCTCTCTCTCTCTCTCTCTCTCTCTCTCTCCCTCTCTCTCTCGGTTTTTCGAGACAGGGTTTCTCTGTGGCTTTGTGTCCTGAAACTAGCTCTTATAGACCAGGCTGGTCTCGAAATCACAGAGATCCACCTGCCTCTGCCTCCTGAGTGTTGGGATTAAAGGTGGGCGCCACCAACGTCCGGCTGAGATTACCAAATCTTAAGTGTTCTGTTATAGAAAAAGAAAATGGCAACAATTAGAGAGTGGACTTGAAAGTTTTTTATATTTCTCATCTGATTTGTTGAGGATTATGATTCTTTACTAATTCATGGGAAATTCCTATTCCTAACTTATTTTTAGTAATGATGTACTTTTGTAGTAGTGTATAGCCTTCTCTCTCTCTCTCTCTCTCTCTCTCTCTCTCTCTCTCTCTCTCTGTGTGTGGTGTGTGTGTGTGTGTGTGTGTGTGTGTGTGTGTGTGTGTCTGTAGTGAGATATCCACCCTCCCCACACCTATAGTGCCAACCACAGGCTCTCTTGCTTCTGGTTGGGTAACAGAAAGTGGTCTGGGTGGATCCCTGGGGCGGGAACTTACGGTGGTTGTTGGGAGCCAAATCTCAGGGCTTGGCATGAGATCCTAGACCATTCTTAGCCAGCCACATAGTTGTATATTAACCTTTACATAGCAGCTCCTTAGATCCCCAGCTCAAGAAAAGAAACAACTTGACCCAGTCCTCCACCGACAGGCTCAGTCACCTAGGCAACCCTTCCTGGACCTCTTACTCATGAACTCTTTACCCTGCCAAACATCCTCTTTGTGGCTTCCTAATATCCTGCCTACACTAACTCCTGGTGCACCTACCCCTCCTACCCCTCCTACCCCTCCCCATATCCTACTGACTATATAAGCTAGCCTGAGAAAAATAAAGTTTGCCACTTGATCAGAATCCATTCTTAGGGTTGTTCTTTCTGTGTCTCTTGTCCCCATTCCCTATCCCTGACTCTCTTGCCCCAGGTTGACATCCTGAAGGTCAGGACAGGTCATCTGCTTCTTGTGTAAGTGACTTCTCCCTGAATAAAATTACATTAACCTATATTGAGACTAGTCCCGTGAATCTTGATCTGTACATCCATCTCTCTCTCTCTCTATCTATCTATCTATCTATCTATCTATCTATCTATATATATATATATATATATATATATATTGTGTGTGTGTGTGTGTGTGTGTGTATGCATGTGGAGGCCTGAAATTGATGTTGGGTGTCTTTTCTCTTCACCTTCATTTTTAGAGATAAGTTTCCTCACTGAACCTGAAACTCACTGATCTGGCTAGGCCTTCCAGCCAATGAGCTCCATGGTTTTGCTTGTCTTCTCTCTCCTCCATCCAAGGCTGGAGTTACAGACAAGCCACACTCAGCTTTTTCGTGGGTCCTGGGGATCAAACTCAGGTCATCAGGCTTGTGTGACTAGTGCCTTTATCCACTGAACTGTGTTTGACTCTGTTCTTAACCTTTTTTTCCCCTTAAATTTCCTTAGGCTTTATGTGAATGTATGTGGCCCCAAAGTTGGGCACCATGTGTAGGCAGAAGTTTCTGTCCCTCCAGCCATTTCCCAAATAGCCATAGAGAGACTTATTAATTATAAATCTCAGCCAATAGCTTAGGCTTGTTACTAACTAGCTCTTACAACTTAAATTAACCCATATTTCTTATCTACATTCTACCATGTGGCTCAGTACTTTGCTTTAACACGGCGTGTTCACCTTCCTTCTCTCTGTCTCCTGAGAATTCTGCCCTCTTTTACCTCAGTGTTCTCTCTGTCTGGCTCTCCCACCTAACCTCTTCCTGCCTAGCTATTGGCCACTTTTCTCTTTATTAAACCAATGAGAGCAACACATCTTCACAGTGTACAAAAGGCTTACTCCCCCCTTTCACTGTTGATATTAGTTGTGGTGGTTTGAATTTGAATTGTCCCACATGGGCTCATGTATTTGAACAGTTGGTGGTGCTGTTTGGGGAGGCTGTGGAATTTTTAGGAGATGCAGCCTTGCTAGAGGAAGTACATCACTGGGGGTGGGATCTGAGAGTTTATCATCTTTATCCACTTCCTGCTGGCTTTCTGAACGTAGTTGAAATGTGATCTCTCAGCTTCCTGCTCCTGATACCATGCCATGCCTTCCTGACATGATGGACTTTCTATCCCCAGAAACTATAAGTCACATAAACTCTTTCCTAAGTTGCTTTAGTAGTGGCATTTTATCCTAGCGATAGAAAAGTCACTAATACATTAGCAATTTGTATTATTTTTCCCCTTGGTAGTTTTGCCAAGGAATTATGACTTTTGTTCATCTTTTCTAATGGAGTTTTTTGGTTTCAAAATATTCTCTATTAATTGTAGAAATTACCTTTATTATTTCTCTGGCTCTACTTATTTTGGGTTTAATTTGTGTCCCAGTATGCAGGCTATTCTTGTAAATATCTCATGTTTACCTGAAGAAAAGTTTTCCTTGAGATTGTTTGGGCCGAGGAGCTCAGCACACTGTGAGGTGGTGTGTGTAAGGCAGCTCTCACCTCTGATGCCATCTACTTTGACTCTGATCCAACCTCCTTGAGGGCCATCTTTATCTTCAATACTCAGAACCCTCAGTACCTTTTCATTACAGTATGCTTTTCCAGAATCCAAGTACCATGTAAGTAAGTCATCGTGGTGAACCATCGCCCTGATCACAGCATATTTGATTCAAACATATCAACTACATATACTTCATGCTGTGACATGTGTGACGATTCTATATGTAGAAGGAGGTGGAGGAGGGGAGGTAGGTTCTTCAAACACAGGGGATGGCATGTGCAAAGGGTCTGTGGTGGAGTTCAGTGCAGAAATGAGCAGACCCCAGAGGTAGTGAAGAGGGTGGAACGGCTCCAGCAACCCCAGGCTGTTCAGGCACTGCTCAGAGGCTGCTTTGTAATCATGACACCTTGGGATTGAGTGGGGGATGGAGCAAGTCCAAAGTAAGTGGTGATGAGGCTGGGGCGGAAACAGCAGCTTGAGAAGTAAATGAAGCCTTTGACTTCCCAATGAGGAAGGTCGGGGCTTCCCCTGCAGGTGAAGAGAGTGGCCACATTCTGAGAAACAAACCCGGGACAGGAAGACTGCAGTGACCACATCATCCTCACCCCTTAGGTACCCCATCAGCTTGGGCTTTCCGCATGCCACCTCTGCAGACTCACCTGACTCTGCCACCTCAGCAATGGGCACTCCCTGCTCGTACGCCATGAAGCCCAGGACTGAGAAGATGGCGAACCCAGCCACGAAACTGGTGCCACTGTTCAGACAGCAGAGCATAATGCAGTCCCTGTGGGGAAGCAGTAAGAGGGGCCCGAGTCAGTGCTGGCAGGATAGGCAGCTGCTGGAACTTTCCGCATCGGAGACCAGGACACACTGTTGGGCAGGCAGAGAAGCATAGACAGGGACAGCCTCACGTTTCCCAAACGAAGTATTTGTGGTTCAGAGAGGGTGGATAGCTAGCCCACAGCTTTCCCTGAATTATTAGAAGACAAGGTAGGTCTCAGGGAGAGGGGTGTGACAGAAGGAAGAGAGCCTGGCTTCCTGCATCAAGAGAGGAAAGAATCAGGAAACAAACACTGCTCTGATTCCTGAGGAGAAAAAGCCAAAAGCAGCAGGAGGGGGCCATGTCCCAAGGCATAAATCTCAGAGGGTAAGAGAAGCCTTCATGTGAGAAGTCAGGTGAGTGAGTAAGAACCATAGGCCTGTAGCTCCAGCAACTTCCAGGGGAGAGATTTTGTGGTGACACCCATCCTGGCTGAGCAGGGGAGAGATTTTGTGTGGCACCTATTCTGGCTGAGTTCATTATCAAGCAGTGCCCGGCATTCTGCTCCACCCAGATTCTGCTCAGTGGGCCAGCTCATGGAGGAAACTGATCAGAGCAGTTGCTTTGAACTGCTTTTGAGAGGTACCTGCCAGTTGGGAAGTGCCAACATAAAGCCCCAACCAAGGGGAAACCAGACAACAAGTGATGGAGCTTTATGAAGATGAGGATGATGGCCCAACCTATCCCAGGCTCTAGAATTCAGCCTCTGTAGTGTGGGCTCACAACTCAGACCAGGGTGCGTGTCAGTGCCTTGCTCTGTATGGGAGGTGCACTCAAGTGATCCTGACCAACAGTGTCCCAGAATGGAGTGACATTGTGGCCTCAGCTCTGGTCCAGGAGCTGGAGTTTAGAAGTCCCCTTCCCACTGGATGGAGCCTCCTGCTGACAGCACAGAGAATCTCCTTATATTCCTTTAGACAAAAATCTCCCTTGGCCACCAACAGGCTCAGGGGAGGGGCTCGAGGCTGCGGTGGCCTGGCGGGTGAGCCTCAGAGCTCCTGGGCCTTGTGTTCTCTTGGCTAACACCCTGGTTTTCTTACCACTCCTTCATCCTGTCTTCCGTCTGTAGTGCCCTCTGACTTACCCAGAACCTCAGCAATTATCATGTACAGGACTGAGAATTCTATCTTCTTCTTGCACCAGGCTTTTTGTAATAGAACCAAAGATACCACTAATGTTGGTAACAAACCAACAAGGACCCTGGTAATGAGGACACAGTGGAGAGAGCACTAGACAAGGAGTTAGGAGTCTGGGGCTATGATTCTCGCTGCAGGTCTTTTTTTTGGGACTGACCACGATAAAGCATTGGGCCTCATGGGCTAGGATTTTTTTTTTTTTTTCTTATTTGTTTTTGTTTTTCGAGACAGGGTTTCTGTGTAGTCTTGGCTGTCTGGAACTCACTCTATAGACCAGGTTCACCTTGAACTCAGAGATCTGCCTGCTTCTACCTCCTGAACACTAGGGGTAAGGGTTAGCACTGCCATGCCTGGCTGTCATGGGCTGTTTCCAATCGCCCCACCTGGGGGTGGAATGGAAGCCCCAGGTTCACTGGCTTCGGCTTTGCCGTGTGACCTACTTTCAGACAGTAAGGACATTAGTTGACATGACACAGACAGTTGACTGCTGTCTTCTTGACTGGACTTGTCTTCTATCATTCTTGCCATTATTTTTTCCCCACAGGAAGAACTCCCACGGGAATGACTGTCCCTTCAATCCTGGACCACAGAATGCACACACAAAGAGCAGATTTGAGCCTGACCTTCTGAAGCCAAACCCACCCACTCATAGCCAGGACAGTTTGCCTAGCCAGCCTCAGCCCAGGAGTAGGAACACTCAGCCCCTGGTGCCACAGCTATTTGTCATGAATATGACCATGGCTTCAGATGAGTGATGCAGGTCCCTTTAAAAACCTCTTCTGACACAGTGATCTGCTAACCCTGACTACTGTCTAAAGCCCCATTTGCCTCTACTGTGGAAGAAACAGCCCAGGTGAGGAGAGGACCACATTACTCCTGAGAGAGCAGGGACTGACTTACACATTAGCTAGCATCTTATTACCCCAAATCTAATCAAGGTGTCCTTTGCATCTTCTCCTCAACCTAAAGCCAAACAGCCCTGACATATCCAGAGTATCCAGAGGCAGGAATGGAAAGATCTAGAGAGGAGACATCACTCCATGCTTGCTACCATCTGGATTTCTCCTGTCATGTGAAAGGCCAGCCCTGTGTTAGGTCTTCTGAATCTCGAGATTGGAGATGAGGTCTCCTTGTCAGTTCTCAGTGAAATGATAACTGGGAATCCAGGCCTCTCAGATGCCCTTTCTGGGGGCTAAATGACACTTCCTAAGAATCAAGGCTTCCAAAGCCCGGCTGTGGGCAGTTACCTTCAGCCACCATGAGGCTGGGGAAAGCAAACTTCCCTTTCTGCAAATCCTGTCTCCCCCATAGGCTCTCAGATCACTTTACTGTATTTGAGTTCTCAGGGACGTCCGGCCCCTTCAGCTCTGTACATGGGTGCCAGCCTCACCTGTGAGCGCACTCAGCCTCACAAGGCTGGGCCCTGCCTGGCCCTTCTATCCCTCTCATGCCTTCCCCTACAGCTCCCTGCAATCTCTGGGGAAGGCTTATGTAACCAGGGCTTTGAAGTCAGCAGGGGCTGAGCTGGGCTTGCATGAGCTCCAGAGGTGACTAAGCTGTCAGGAGAGGGGATTAATTGACTGCTGGGCAGACCTGTTTGCAGAACAATCTGGAAACAGATTTTTGCAGGCATCTGCTTTGTTCCACTGAGCGACAGGGAGAGGAGGGAAAATCCTGCCTGCTGAGTTCCTGGCAGCAGCGGATTGGGACAGGCTCCTCTCTTAGCCCCACACCCGTGCTGAACGCTCTACATTTTCAGATCACTGCTAGGTTGTTGGTTGAAAAAAGATCACTCACGTTCAACTTTACATATATGGCCTAAGCCCCCAAACACGTTACATGTCACTTTATGACTTCTAATTTAACAAATAATTTGTATATTTGATTTGGGGTTAAATAATACATAGATGATATCTGTACTAATTTGATTTTCCTTGCTGGGATGAGCTTGGGTATGGGGTGTTTAGGACAGGGTCTCACTGTATCTTAGGCTGGCCGGGGACTCATGTAGCTCAGGCTAGCCTCAAACTCACAGCAATCTTGCTTCAGCCTCCTGTGTGCTGGTGTTGTATGCTAATATGCCTGGCTTTCCTGACTCTATTTTCTTTTAATCCATAAAAGCAACATGTACCCAGAGTGAACAAAGATGCCTTCAATGTACAGGAATCAGGAGAGAGGAAATCAGCCTTCGTGGTGTAATTAGTTTTAATAGTTTTCTTTTTCCTCCAAGTGTGAGATAGTGCAGATTTTCATCAGTTACTCCCTTCTCGATGGACTCAATTTTAATTTTCCACCTCTTCATATCCCCAAATCAGCATTCAATTCCTTACTTTAGGGTAGTTTCTCTCTGTGGCTAGCTGGTATATAGGGTGGATACAGGTGAGATGTCCGTTCTCAGATGATCTGTGCTCATTGTGGTACCTCGTCACAATTCCAAAGTCTCCTCCCTATGGAAGGAGCTCCCGGGCTCTCACAGTGTGATGCTCTCTCTGTCCATCCACCAGCAAGTGTCCACCTACTGTGTGCCAGCTACCAGGCTCTTCAGTGTAAGGACATCAACACTGTCATGGCAGTCAGGGACCCCAGAATGAGCTTATTCCAAACCCTGCCCTCCCCCACACACTGCTGAGTGTCCCTGGCCATTTGTGGGTCTCAGCTTCATGGTGGCACTCAGGCTGCAGGCCTGTGAGGCTCCACAGCCTCGGTCACCTCCTTGCCTGGACCCTATGTGGCCAGTAGGTCAAGAGGACTATGGGCCAAGGAGGGCCCAGCCACTCCTGGTGGGTCAAGAGAGGGCCCTCTGGACCTGCCTGTGAAAAGCAACAGGGCAGAAACAAGGTCCTTGGTGTGGAAATACTTGGGTTGAGCCATTTTGGTTCCTTATTAGCTGTGTGACCTTGCACAATTTACTGTATATATACCCATGCTGCACATGCTGACACCGGGGCCTGACTGAGGCTGTAGGGTGGATTTGCTGTGCAGGGCAGACTGCTTGCATGTGGCAGTTTCCCAGGTCTGTCCCTGTGATCCTGGGGGAAGGGCAGGGCTGACAAGCAGCTTTCTGTGTTCTGGGCCCTGCACTGCGGGACAGCTGTGAGGCTTTGGAAGCTGTGGCCGTCAGCTGGGCTCACCTGTAGCAGTTGTTGTTATAGTTGTTGTAACTCCCCAGAGCGGTCAGGCAGCCCAGGCAGATGGCGTAGGAGAAAAAGATCTGCGTCCCAGCGTCCACCCACACCTGGAGGAGGGCACAAAAATGTGGGCATTGAGAATCAAATGTGGGAGGAGGGAGTCAGATGTGGGAAGATTGAGAGTTAGATGTGGGAAGAGGGAGCTTGCTCTCTGGATACTCCCCCCAAAAGAAATTCTAGGACAGGAATATCAAACTTCCTAACTTTCTTGGGAACTCCTATTACATTCATATTCCTGGGACCACCTCATTAAAAAAGAAATTTCCTTCATAAATACTAGATTTTTCTAATGGTTGTGGATAATAATCCATTACACAACAAGAATTTTGATAGTGAATTGGGTCTATGGGCGCAAGCCTGTAAGCCTAACATTAAGAAGGCTGAGGCAGGGCAATCTTTGCAAGTTCAAGGTCGGCCTGTCTACTTTGTGACTAGGATGGCCAGAGCGACACAGCAAGACCTGGTCTCTAAAAAACAAATAAAGCCAAGTATAGTGGTGCACACTTTCAATCCTAGCACTTGGGAGGCAGAGGCAGGTAGATCTCTATGAGTTCAAGGCCAGCCTGGTCTACAGGGTGAGTTCCAGGACAGTCAGAGCTACATAGGGAGACCATGACTCAGAAAAAGAAGACAAACAAAATGGTATTTGGATATTAAGTGCCCTGGCTTCAACTGCATGGTTTGCAAAAGTAACTTAACATCTCCAAGGCTTAGTTTTCTTATCTGCCAAGTATGAAAAGAAAGACCCTGTCAGGCCTGCTGCAAGGATGGGTGCCAGGAGTGTGAGCCCTGGGCATGGGTCCTGCTTCTATGCCACACCACACTTAAGTCTAAAAACATTCCCTTTTCTTGGTAATTGAAATTACCATGAAGACAGTTTCTCATGACTGTGAAGAAAGAGAAAGCGTTGACACAAGCTGCCCAAATACAGACTAGGAGTGTGTGTGCACACATATCTGTGCATGTGTGTGGGTCCACTAGTTTACAAAACAGATACCCTAGTGCCAGCTTCCCTGGGGTGCAGCCAGCCAGCAGCTTCTTAGTCACCAAAGTCCCCTCTGACTAAAATTTCCCTTATCTGCATGACATAACGGTGGCAACCACACTGACATTTCAAGTACTCCACTTCCCTAGGTTTAAGCTCAGTATCTAGGAATCTCTAAGGAAAAGTCACAGCTGAAACTCAAGCTGGTTTTGGGCTGAGCATCCAGCGCCACCTGGAGATGAGACTCAGCACTGAACACAGACAGGAGCAGCCTTTATTAAACACTTTTGGTACCTTGTTGAGCTTCTGCATAAGACTGCCATGAATGTCAGTAGTACTGGGCAGCCCTATGCAGGGGCTGCTCTTAGCCTGTTCCTCCAGCCAAGACCACACAGCTGGGACATGATGGGTGGAAATGCACACAGACCCAGTTCTGGAGACACAGCGTCAGTCCTCATGCAGGCTCAGAACCTACCCCTGCATCCTGGTTCTTCATCTCTACTTCATAACGACTCTCCTCTTAGTCCTTTGGATGGACATCTACCTGGCTGCTGTCACTAATGGGGTAACATGTGTCATTCTTCTTTAGATACCTCTGACTGTTAAGTCATTTCCAAAAGTGAGAATTCTCCTTTCTTGGTGTTTGATTCTGGGTTCCTCAGACCATAGCTTTATTTTGCACATGACAGTATTGCCCCATAGCTTTCTGATCCCCAAAACATTTCCATTCTTGGCACGATTCTTTCTAGAGGATTTGCTCACATGGAACAGGCCACCCTGTCTGCATCTGCTCGTGTTTGTGAAAACATCCAACGGCAACATATGAGAAGCGCTTCTGACCCCAACAGGAGTGTCTGCTAACCTCTCCTAACCCAGGCAGTCTGGCTTTAGAATGTCAGCTGAGAAGAAGCACCATGATCACATTCATGGTGTGTGTGTGTGTGTGTGTGTGTGTGTGTGTGTGTGTATTCATGTGTGTTACTGGTAGATCAGGGTGTACTGAGACATGGGTATTTAGAAATAGAGATAAATCAAGAATGTTTGGAAAAAGCCATAGGAAATCATTATTTTGTGCTTACTTAAAATTACACTCATACACACAGAATGTTTAATGAAAGTTATACTACTTTGGGTAACCCCTCGATAGCCATAGACTATCTAATAACAACCCCAATGCCAGGCATTGATGGGGGGGGGGTAGAATTTCTGCTTTTGTTTACACAGAAAATGAAAAGCTGTGGATTCCTTCCAAACTAATATGGTTTGATTAAGCAAGACCCCCTGAAGCAGTGACCCAACTGATCCTACATCCAAAAGAGCTGAGATGATGTAGCCATAGATGATTACGGCCAGATTTCTGTGTTTTATCATGATCCTCATGGTATGGATATCACCCCCAACCAGCAGGAAGCAGTTTGGAATGAACGATGTCCAAATTCCCAAATATTGTTTATAAATGTTTGTTTTCATTTAAAGGGGGTTGGTTATAAATGGTAATGATCATAGTCAATCTCTTTTTTAAAGACAAAAAAGGGAATAGGATATGGAGATGAATACTTTACATTGGTATGGATTTTATTGATATGAATTTAAGGTCAATTTTGTGATATGCATAATTAGATACAGATTATATAGTCACCTATAATAATCACAACCTACAGTTAGGTTAGTTGGGTTTCTAGATATTACAGAGATGTATTTGAGATGGATAGATATTCTTCAAACCTTTCAAAGACCCACAGAATATATGGCATTTAAATGGTTTAGGGTTTTTCTTGACAGTGAGACACAACTGCTCCTGGCACACCAATTACATCAGAAAGGAGGGTGGGCATTGAAGAAACTCATTATGGAGTATGCCTTCAACATGGCAAGATTAGCCATTTGGGCAAGAAACTACTCTTGCCTGGACTGTTTGTTGCTGTATAAACTGGACATGCAGGATCCACAAGAAAGTGACTGCTGAACTTACAAAACAAGATGAACAGTCCTAAAGGGTTCCTGCTGAAATGGAGAAGTGTGCCAGACACACTGTGGCCTATAGGCTGACGATGGATGCCCCAATGTTACAGAGGAACTTTGGGTGACTGTCCAGGTAGTGAGATGTCTCTGTAAATTCTAGAGTTTATATATTATCCTTCTGTGGTCTTTGATGGAGTTGAAGACAGATAGTTATGGTTATAGTTTTCTTCAGTTATTATAAAAGATAAATTACCCTTCTTTTTATTTAGACAGAAAAGAGGAGATGATGGGGGAGGTCCTTCTGTGTATATGTTTGCCTTATTGGTTGATAAATAAAGTACTGTTGGCTAAAAGGAAAGCAAGATAGGTGGGACTAGGAGTCAAGGAGGATTCTGGGAAATGTAGTAAAAGGAAGTCTTGTGATACAGGCAGGACGTGACATAGCAGGCAGACTCATATATAAGTAAGGGCAAGAAGGAAGTCATTCCCTTTCTCTCTTCCTCTTGCTCTCTGCTCTGGAGCCACCATGTGATCCTGGTGTGAGAAGACGCCTGTAGCCAGTGTCCGTTAAGTCTTATAAAATACATAGATTATGGTTATGGTTGATAATTAAGACTGAGCTAGCAAGTAATCAATTGGCCAGCAGCATTGTAAACTAATATAAGACTCTGTATGTTATTCTGGGTGCCCACATGGTGGCAGGGCTCAGGTGGCTGGAGTAAAGACTTACAAGGCATGGGAAACTTCTTTTTGAGTTGTTGATTAGATAAGTCCAAGAACCACGCCCCCCCCAATATGGGCTATTGCCGTAGCCCTTGATGCCTTCTAGAAAAAGAAGGTAAGATATCATTACTAAGGACTCCACATAATTTGGACACAGGAGGAATCCATCTGGATCTGACCTAGAAGTCTCCTCCATAAGGAACTGCTCTCATAGTATCAGAAGGAGTCATGCAAGCTGCCAATCAAAGCAACATTCCTACCCAGATGTAACATCAATGTACCCAAACAATGATGAGATATATATATACATACATATATCTCCTGGGGTAACCAACAGTTATCTAATCAGACTTAAGGCCTGCTCAACAGGAGAGAATTTGTGCCTGGTACTGTAAACCTAGCCAGCTATCCACCGCTGGTGAGGCCATAGGGCCCAAAGAAGAACCTACTCCAGTCACTATAAAGCAGTATGGTTCCCAACCCCCCTCCAAATACTTATCCTTGTACCTACAGATAAGTGGAGCTCTCACCACCATCAAAGGAGCTTCTTTTTGCAGCAGAAACCATCACAGAAAGCCACAACTGGTCAAAATGCAGAGAACAACCAACCATGGGTACCTAGCCCCAGCGGGTACATCTACAACAAATCCCTGCACCTAAGGCTCAGGAATGTCTTAGAAGAGGACGAGGAAAGATTGTAAGAGCCAGAGGACCAGGAAGTTTGCTATGAGATAGTGTCTTCTAAAACGCAAAACTCAAAGTGGAGGTTGCTGAAAGAAAGGGGTGAATATGATTAAAATACTTCATATGGGATACTGCTGTTCTGTGGCTCTGTCTATGGTACATTCTTCACCCATGGTGAAATATAGGTAAAAATATAGATGAAAATAGGTGAAACCTAGCTGGGCATTGGTGGCGCACACCTTTAATCCCAGCACTCAGGAGGCAGAGGCAGGCAGATCTCTGTGAGTTCGAGGCCAGCCTGGTATACAGAGTGAGTGCCAGGATAGGCTCCAAAGCTACACAGAGAAACCCTGTCTTAAAAAAAAGAAAGAAAGAAAGAAAGGAAGGAAGAAAGAAAGAAAAAGAAAAAAAGGTGAAACCTATTGTCATGGTTTTCTTATAACAGCCATGTGTGAGATGGGACCACAGTTCTTTTCTGCTGCCCTGCTGTAACTGAGAGGGGATGTTGCTGTGCAGAAGGAAGGCGATGACTCAGGGTATATTTTCCAGCCTTTGAAGTTCTAGGATTTCCCCTTCAGTGACTATCAGAGTCTTAAAATGGTGGTGATGCCACTGATGCTTTCTGAAGCCATCGTTCTTTTATCCCTAGACCCCCACTTTTCTCCAAAATGTCTCTGTGTTCCTTCTCTGTAC